AATCTTTTACTATTTTTATGCATTTATTTTAGAATTGTACATTTCGCATATTTTAGTATATGTAATAACAATTTTATAATAATCGTTTTAATAATTTTTCTGACTGATAATCAGTGAAACGAATGGTCTTGATTTTTAGATTAGCAATATTTGGTTAAAAACGAGTTAGTTTTAACTTTCAATCGCCTCGGATTTCCATATTTAACTCATCGACTCCTAATCAACCCCTAATAAGTTATATCGACCATTTTGGCAACTCCTGGACTGAGGGCAACACACGAGCGTTATTTTGACGGACGTCTTCCTTTTTTCTTTCAATCTAAGAAAAGGACGTAGACACAAACGTCCGTCAAATTGACGATTGTGTGACCCCAGGCTAATTTGACGACTACTCTTTTGTTAGCTTTGACTTATGTGAATAAAAATGATCGATTTTCGTGATCTTGCTGCATGACCGAGACGAAGGTGAGAAACGTGTGGCATCACGGTAGATTTAATCTGCGAATCCGAGACTTCCGTTTCCAAGTTTTATGCATGTAGCACGCGTCGATGTGGCGCATACATACACATATGGGACAGCTCACTGAGCAGAACGAAAATCGCGCAGGTTCTGCGTTCAAAAGAATCGAGTCGAAGGGAAGAGAATACCGTTCGCGAGCTGAGACGCTCGAAGTAAGACACGCGGCAAAAAATATTTCCCCGCATCACTTTTTCTTATTAATTACAACGAAAGATTGAAGATAAATATCTTTAGGCTTGTCCCTATTCGATACATTTTCCTCCTGCTAAATCCTTCTTATACATTTTTCTTTCAAGGTGAGAAATCAAGAGTGAAGGTATTAAGTCTGATTATTATGGAACGTATCAATTATTTCTGCATTAACGAACACTTTAAGGTTGTATGAGCCGTAAGATCTCTACCGAAAGTGTAGCAAACCTGATAAAAAGCTGTGTTTAATATTCGAAACCATAAACTTTTAGGAAAAATGATATTTACAGATAAGTAAACTTTTCTAAGTCAGGGAATTTCTAATACTCTAATACATAGTTTGAACACTTTTTGATAAGATTGTACCTGACTTGCAACTGTTCATACTATCTACAAGTAATACAATTCTTACTTTTGCTTACTTTCTATTGTGTATCTTAAATAAAATCCTCAAATTTGGAATTATTTCTACTTTAAAATATTCTTAAGTTCAAAATTCTCTCATTGTTGCTCCTATATTTTGAATGAAATCATGTCATTCTAGCTAAGAATCAAAGATGTACAGTAAATGTCCTAATTTCTGTTATAATTTTTACTTACTGGTTTAAGATTACATATAAAATAACAGAAAAATAAAGCCAGTGAGTAGAAATTGTTACATGAACAGAAATTTCGACATTTACTATAATAACTACTTTAATAGCTTCGCAAAATTTCTAAAACTTTGCTGATTGTTTTCTCCACGTAGTATCTAACAAATGTTGAAATTTGAATGACTTGTTTTTATTCAAGGATCCATGAAACCTTAAGAAAAATCGTTAAATAAAAAAGTCTACTTAATCATTGAGCTAACCGACATTGGATACACCCTGCGTTTCCTTGTAACGTTCATCGGAGCGAACCATATTGGAAGTAATCGGGACCAGTCTCGTTAGAAGCGACCAGTCATTAGCGACTCTCTAACTCGCCCAGATCTCGCATCGTCTATAAGGAAGACTGATCCGAGTAACCAAAACTTCAGCGAACCAGCCGTTCGTCCAGTTCAATAAAAATTCTCACTAAACCGGAATTTCTAATTTCGCTCGTAACGTCTATTCAACAAACTTACGTTTCGTTTCTCTCCTACGTTCCACGCCGCGATTTTTCTCCTGGGTACATGTACGCGGCGCACGAGAGGGTCTCCCAGCGAGTCGACGACAATTCACTGCACAAAACCTGAGTCCACGCGCTGGAGCTAATAACAACAACAGGGCACAGTCTAACGAGAGACCAAGAAAAAGAGGTGATTTGAATACGCGCGGCGCCGGGTTCACAGTGTTTCAACGATCGATCGAAATAAAATCCGAATGGACAGTCGTAGAAAGAATAACGAGATGATAGAAGATAGAAGAATGGATTCAGGGTCACGGAGCTCCTTCCCTCCGGCCCACCGGTTCGAGACTGAGGAACCCGGTTCTCTCTCTCTCCAGGTGAACGGCGCGAGTTACCTGAGTAAGAGGCTTCTCTCCGCGGTGAGAAGACGCGACGACCGCGAGGGAAAGAGAGGAGAACGTAGCAGACGTGAACGTAGGCGAACTGTGGAAAAGGTGGAGGAGATACACTCGGCTCGAATCGTGCCGTCGACGAAGACGACCGAGCTTTCTTGACTCCTTGTTTGTTTATCGACGATGGAATTGCATCTGTGACGCTGTCTCACTCGCTCGGATCCTCGAATGAACAATTCTCGCAGGATTAAGAACATGGAGCGGATTTTGAGTCGTAAGAAACTGTTCGTGTTCAAAGAAAAGTGCAGAGTATTCATTGAGTTTTATTTTTATATTGCTTACGAGTTCCAGATAATTTTGATAAATGAGGATAAATTCTGAGTCCCTTAAACAGCAAACGGAACGAAATTATACTTGATAATGCATTTCTAACAATAATTTTGAAGAAGTGATCAATGAATGCAATAATCAGACAAAATTTACTGAAATATATTTTGTGTAATGAAATCCACTTATTATGTTCACTTAGATTTTTCATTTTTCATCAAATATCATAATGTGAGATTTACTTCAATTGTTTTGGTGATTACGTACAATACTTGTATTTTTTTATATGCACATTTTCTACCACTATCCTAATTAATACACACTGAATGGAATTTTGGTGTCCTAATCAGAGACATTGATGATCGCATAAGCAAGATCGTACAGTGAGTTGAACGCGTGGTCGCGTTATCGACATGCTCGATCCTGTCACACAAATACACATTTTTTCGAAGTATCTTCTTAGATAATAGAAATTGATGTAACAATAAAATTACAGAAGAATGATCTTCCTTATTCGTATATATCGAATTCTGTTACCTTATATTTCAATCCCGACTAACGTAACGCTTATTCACGAGTTCAATTATGCAAGAGAGGTCTTACGTTGACGCGCGTGCGCGCGATCGAACGTGATCATACTCGAGTTCTAATTAACTCTAAAGTCGAACGTACCGGACACCTTTATAGTGACAGAGTAGCAAACGCAAAGCCCGGTGCTCCGTTACCGTTTTATCGGGTCTGGTGCACTCCGGAGGCGTTCAACCCGGCAGCTCGTTGCACACACGCGAATCACCGTGTCTTGTTGTTTATAAATAAAACGGAACTTAGACTGCCTAGCAAGCCAGAAAACATCTGAACAGGCAAATTGCTTAGACTGTGTTACGCTTTTTTCACATTGTCTCCGGCAATGCTCAGGTCGACTCGTCTAATAAATTGGCAAGAAAATACAATTGATTGTAAGCAATTTTTCAGAAGTATAGAGAATTTATATTATTTACCGTGGCTTTGCCTGTAATCCTTTGAGAATAATAAATATTCCGTATCTTGTAATAGTATAAGAAAAATAAGGAAATTAGTAAAAATTTAACTTTATTCCATCCCCTCAAGGATAGAATTTCGAAGAATCCGTAAATTGATTTTCAAACACTTGCATAAGAAACTTTGATAACTAAAAACCAAGTCGATAATTTATATTGTATAAGAAAAATAAAGATATTCGTAAAAATACACTTCATCCCGTATCAACACCTAAAGGATGGAATTTTGAAAAATCCAAAAATTCTTGTTAAGTATTCTTATAAAGTGATATTTTGGTACCAGAACCAGTTTGATATCTCATTAGGCTAAATAAATACATATATCAAAAGAACGAAAAATACAGTTTATTCTATTTCCACCCACAAGGGTAGAATTCCGAAAAATCTTCCCCCTTTAATATTTCAAGTATATCTGTTCTTACTAGACGTTAACACTAGATTGCGTAAGGAAGTCATTTTGACTGCTTTTGGGCAAATGTACAAATAATAATGCATAAATTATTTCTTTTTCCAAGTGAAGTAAATTTTTTTTATTGTTAACATTTACTACTGTCTCTTATACAC